CTTTTTAACATTGTTTCTTACTTAGTCTATTAAACCATTGGAAAAAAGACATCGCACGTTCCAAAAAATACTTCAATGTCTCTTTGACAAGTGTAATTAGTCGGACTAAGGTAATTAACTTTTTTGTGTAGATATTCATTTTTGATAAAAATGAAGCAAGACAAAACCTTCTATTTACAATGGCAACCTCTGTATAGCAACCGCCCTTTGGGATCAAGATAAAAAAAATTTAGTTGCTGCTGATAAGAATTTATGCTTACTATCTGGAAACAAAGTGATCCCTCGGAAGCATAAATCACAACAAAATTACATGAACATTGCAGACTCGGTTTGATTGAGTCTGTACATGAGGGATAATAAATAAGTGCAACATCCCTCACGCCCCCTAGCACGATCTTGAGTGGTACTCAATTCTCAACACTTAATAGTGATGGCATCAATGATCCCAAAGGACCAAAAGTGATATGAAGTATGAAGTCTTACTTAGGGAAAAATGATATGGCTGTTATAAAGAGGTGATTTCACTGCAGAGGTTTCATTGTATATATTATTAAGGAAAAATATTTTCAAACTCTGAAACTTCGTAAAATACATGTATGTGAAATTTAATTCGTCATGCTCCAAACACATGTTTTGTTACAAACTGTTAAATGTTGATATGTTGCACCCCATTTACATAAAAAATAACATTTTTTTTCTCATAATTGTTGGCAAAAGACAGAAGCAACAGGAGATGGCGGGAGGACAGCATGCTCAACTATTCTCAGTGCTTGACCTAGATAATGTGGTTTTTTCTTCAAGTTCAAAAGGACAATAATTTTGTCAAAATCCATGTCTGATACATGCCATGGACCTTGGACAGTGACCTATTATGCTCTCAAATAAGTGTTGAAGTTTCAACCCATTCCCTTTTAGCAGTTTTGGAGATACCAACTTGCATGCAAAATCTGCCTGTACGAAAAAAACTCCTGTTTTACAACTGTAAAACGACTGAAAAACACCTGTTTTTGTAAAAATACAGGTCTTAGGGACCTGTGTTTGCTGAATTTGACATTTTGACTAAGAAATACAGGTGTATTATAACAATTTTACAGGTGTATTTTTGAGACAAGACCTGTGTTTTAGATGTACACATGTAATTCTGATACTTAGAAAATATTGAACTAATATTTTGTGCTGAAAATAATCTAAGTCCAAAACTACAACTGTATTTTCAATGATACAGATGTACAATACACACTTAGAAAATCTTTTAGAGAAATTGTTCTTATTTAAATACTTTAATATCTTTGATGCAATTGTACAGACTGCATGCACATTATTTACACTTAGGATTTAATTTTTAAACATTCATAATGTAAGCAACTTTGAACTAAGAGTTCTATCTAAATTTGAATATACATGTACATTGTATATGATTATTTAGTTTTAAAATATATGAGATAGTTCACATAGGCCTGTCTTTGTTGTTCTTAAAGTATAAAAAGAACAACAACAAAAACTATAACAACAACAAACTGGTACATGTTCTTATTCAAGACTCCAAATTTGCAGACATTATGAGTTATTCTTCACTCTGTAAAGTTAATTGTGTATGAAATAAACTCATACATTAAGCTCTCTCAATCTAGTTTGTAATATAAATGACCTGTTAAGTAGGATAAATAAATAAACACTGCCTCTACTACTCTACAATGATTTTACACAACTGACTGATTTTACACCTTGCACTGACCAGTCTGATAATGGTACCCACCTGTTTTCCCACCATTATAATTCTGCTACAGTCCAGACTCTTCCATTTGATTTTTTCTGGGGGGAAACAACTTTATAAATTTTAAATGAAGTCTGTTTAGAAGGAAATTTATCTTTAAAAACTTATTATGAATTTGAAATTCTACATTACACTTTTTTTTTCTCATATGTCTATATGATTGTGAAAGTAAAATGATGGGTGCTTTGATTTGTGGAATATCCCTGTTTAACATTATGCATGATGAATCAGTCCAGTTCTACAGTTGTAAAATTTGAAATCTGAGGTATTTGTGGAAATACAGTCGAGACCGTCTAAGCGACCCCCTGATTTAAACGACTCCCTGTCTTATCCGACCTTGTTTCAGTACTCCCAACGTATTTTCCTATATAAATGGTCTGAATTAAACGACTCCCTGTCATATGTGACAAGCGACCCTAATTGTCTGGTCCCAATGCAATGTTTTGTCTGATTTAAACGACTTTCACACCTTTTAATTGTCCGTTGATCAGATAAAGAATACCTATTATAACACCCAGAGGGCCAAAATAATTAAGTCCAATTATAATCCAGCACTGTAGCAAACAAAGTCTACACACCTCTATCTCAATTACACATCATGTAGATACATGCAGGTACAAAGTGACGTAGCGTCTGTTCATGGGAAGCATGATGCAATAGATGTGTGTGTAATGTACATAATTGGGTTAAGACTTGTGTTAGATTTTTTTTTAAATTAAAGAGTGCCCACGAAAGATTTTTTAGGCAGCATTTTTTTAATTTACCTTTCTATGGCTGCATAATTAATACGGAAAAAATATTGATACCAAACCAGAAAAAAGCTTTGGATATGGATATGTTTACAGTAAAGATCCTGTAACACAATTTTTTCATGGTTTTATTTCATAAAATATGATGCTCAAATTAAGATTTGTCAATATTGTAAGTTCAAATAAGCATAATTTAGAAAGATATCACCTAATTTAACATTTCATGTAATAAAGGCCATTAAAGGGAGGTAATTAGAACTTTATTTTCTATAAATTCTAAGTCAAATTTTCCAATAAGAAATCAATGCATGCAATTTATTGATTAAATATAATGTGCACGAATATATGCAGTAAACATTTTACATATTCTTTGATGTTTGAAAATTGTTTTATTTGCATAATTATATTCATATATATTTTTTTGCAAGATACAAAAACACAGTAACAGTATCAATCACAAAACATACAGGATCTTTAAGTCACATTGGTATATAGACAGATAGATGATATTTAAATTTAATTTTCTTTGAGACTGTATTTAGAGACTCCCTGTCATATGCGACCTTTTTCTGAAGATCCCTTGGAAAGTCACATATGACAGTCTCGACTGTAGTGCTCATGTATCACAAAGGATCTTATTGATAATTAAGAAATTGTGGAGATATAAGCATTTTTCTAGGCAATATTTTGTATAAAATGTTTGGGTGTAAATTCTTAAACTTTTCAAAGGAAAAAAGTCAAGGCTACAGTCTTGTTAATGAAAATGACAATATTCTGGATTATGGGATATGCTGGTTGCAAATGAAATTTGAATCTTGGACAAGAAGATGAAAACCAGAATCATAAAAAATCAGGTAATAACCTTTGGATACATTTATGCAAAAAACAAGTATTATTTCAGGTCTGCTAGCAATTATTTTTATCAACTTTATTCTGAAAAAAAATAATATTTTACATTCTATTTACCCAGTTGGAAAATAATTTTTAAATGTAAATTTTGTCACCAATAGCATTTAATTAGATACTACAATATTGACTGTTAACTGCTTTATATTTTTGAATGCAGTCTTGAAGAGATGATATTAAATACATTTATACTTAACTTCTAATTAATAGGTCATAATTTATTTTCATATCTTTTATAATGAACAATGAATTTTGTTCTTAAAGGTCACAGTACACCCCCCAGAGACGTTGATCTACATGAAACAAAGCAAAGGACTAAAACAGACATGGTAAAAAGAAATTGTAGTTGACTAATTAGAATAGTTTTGACAGAAATTCATGGTTAAACGAAATAAGTCTACCTTAATTATTAAAGTTAAGTTACCCCACTAATAGAAACAGCTCAGTAAATATCTTTTATCAGGCAATGCATTAAGTAGGACAATTAATACATGTATTCATTAATTGTCAAAACATAATTATATAGGTTGAAGTTAATTCGTACGTATTTAAAAAAATGAATTGGCCAGGCACTGAATATGTGCATTACAAAATGCAAGCATTGAAAGTTACATGATTATCATTTAGTATTCATTTAATGATAAACTATTGATGTTTCATTTGATTCAGGCGAAGCTGCTTTAAACAGGATCTTAAATCACAATGACAGGGACCAGTTAAGAAGAGAAAACACTTGCAAAGGCTTTATTCTAAGTACCTATACATGTATATGTAGACATTAATTTGGCAAATACTGGCAATAAATTTTTACAAGAAAAAAAACTTTATTAGCATTTGTGAATTTTTCTTCAAATGAAAGGATATGCCTGCAGTGTTATTCATGACTTGGATTTTATTGATGCAGTATCAGTAGTGTATATAAGACTGTAACAGAATGTAATAAAATATAGTAATCCATTTAAGACAAAGTGAAAATTTGTTATATTTATCCCCATCTTTAGTGATAGTGATTCTAGTTCAATGATATTTCCGCTCACCTTAGCACAGAGTGCCATTGTGAACTTTTGTGATTGTATAATGTCTGCTATTTGTACCTTAATCTTGTAAAAAGATATTTTCTCCTCAACCATTTCTTATTTTTAAAGATTGAGTAGCAACAAATGCACAAAATTTCTGACAAAGTGTATTTATTTATTTTACACCTGTATTTTTAGACCTGTAAAATTTTACACCTGTATTTTAAACAGCTGTAAAACAGTACAACTGTATTTTCGACCCGTAGAAAAAAACAGTTAATTTACATATTTCGTTCATAGTACAGGTGTAAAACAGGTGTATTTTTGAAAAAACAGGTGTAATTTGCTATATGTTTATCAAAACTGAAGAAAAATACAGCTGTAATTTTTAACAGAAAAACAGGTGTATTTTAGGCAAAATTACAGGAGTAAAATTTCGTACAGGCGAACAAAATTGAATGCCAACGTTGTGGCAGACATCTTCTAGTTCTACTTTCTTCAAGCTAATAAACCTTATCAGTGGAACACAAACAGTTTTTTAAAAACACATCAACAAATTTTGCTAAACTTTAATCTATTCTTACAACAAATTGCTTGGCACTGTTTGAGTATTGAATCATAGAAGAATTGCATAAATAATGATATAATAAGAAAATAATGCGAGTTTCCATCAATATGCAGTTTATAAGTACACTGTCGCTAAATATCTAAAGGAAGCAATCATCATCTTTTGTGACAAGAGAGACAACACTTGGTCCCGTAGAAAGAATGATTACAGATATTGTGTTTCGGCACGAGATGACACCATGAAAACTCGTCAAAACACGAAGGACCTGAAACAAAAACAAATAAAACATGTTAAAATCTAAACTCTAGATACAGTTTATTTAACCACAAATATGCTAGATCCAAAAGTGCTCAGCCTTTAGTTTATTCAAATTTTTTTAAGGATCATCACAGATTATGTCAGAAGCTTGTTGAAAGACGAAATGATGTTTGGAGATATTACAGTAGAACTTTGGTTAGTCATGAATTGGTTTTAATTTATTGAAAATATTACGAGCCATTAAAGCCCGATTGCAAAACTAGTTCTTGTAACTTATCACTTTCGAGTCCGCTTCCAAGAACCAACCAGTACTGGTGTCATATGAACAAACATTGTTGTGACCCAATCAGGGCTTGCCCCATGATCCCTGGGTTGAGAAGCAGTCATCCTAACCACAAAGCCAATGCTCTCCTTCAATTTGTCGGGTTTCATGTGATACCAACTCTTTACTGTTTGAGAAATACTTGAGTTGCTCCTTTGCACATTATTTCAGGTACAAATTACATCTGAGAAGGGAATTATCTTCAACAAGTTTACTGGATACGTTCCTCACAAGGAAGAATCCCAACTCTCTGACGGGATTCGAACCCACAGCAAAACAGGGTAAGTAAGTTGAAGTTGGCAATCTTAACCACTCAGTCACAAAGGCCAAACAGTACGTCTAAGCTATTCCATTTTGATCGGAAGATTATCTGCCTTATTTTCTCTAAAATGATTTGACTAGGAGGGAAGGAGCTAATGTTTTTTATTGTTATTCTCTTCAAAATAATTCTTATAGCACTATAGCTTCCTCTTCAGCACTTCTGATAAGCAAGGAATATGCATATATATCTAAAAGAAACAAATTTTACCTGGATCCAAACATTTTTTCTGAAAGCAGCTCTGTTTCGCTAGAGGCTTGACAGTCTGGTCACAGTTAGTGGCAAGCTTTCTGTACTTCTGATGCATACAGTGAACCAGTCGCGTCTGCTGACCACGTCCACATGACACTGAACACTAAAAACAAGAAGATTACTTTAAAATTTAGATAAAATCGGCACCTTAGTGCTGTAACAGGTTAACTCCTGATATTATTTAATCGGAGTTAATTCTCTACTGCAGTAAGGTGACAAAATTATGAATTTTAGATATCATTACTTTAGAACTGTTTTCAAATAACTTACCAGCATGAATTTTTCTTCAAATCACTTTTAAATTTCCAGGCTATTTCTATACTGAATACCTGTGGAATTAAGATTGATTATGTTCGTTTGTTCTAACTGGTTTTTATTCTGGTAGCTCTGGACATGTCTGCACCTGACACACCTCTGTCAGGATTATATCCGGATAACAACGTTTCTCTTTGGTTATTATTACAGTTTTGGACTTTGTCATACATTTAAGAGTACGAGTCCTTGTGCCTACATCATATATTCTTGTGCACTGAAAAATACAAGGAAATATCCAAATTTTGTAAAATGATAAACAATGTTACAATAGTGTTGTAACACTTCAATGTGACATCATTTGCATTATAAACAAACATAGCGTTTAAGCGCGCTAAGGTTAGCGTACATTATAAACAGGCCAATGAAATTGACTCTTTTAACTGTCAACCCAGGTCTTATTCTAAAAATGTGATGAATAGAATATTATATTATTGTCGATTCAGTTATAAACTTGTTTATTTGTGAATAAAACAATATTATGCTTGCCAGAGATTTGAATTATATAACATGAACTTATTCAACTCATTTTTTTAACCTACACTCTTTAACAACATCCTCAATACATATAACATTTGAAACGACCCAATAATATATTTCACAGCTGTGGAGGTAATAATGTTTAAAATTAAATAAATTATTTTTGTTATTTCATTAACCTCGCTCCATGCATTGTTGGCCGATTTAGCTGTTGGGTCTGGGCATCGTCTACGCTTGCAACATCTCTGTGAGATCGGCCGTGGATCACCAGAGCACATAGAGTCTGGCTGTATGACCTAACTTTTTAAAGTCTTACTTTGGCACACAACTGTTCTTGACCTAAATCCTTTACCACAGCTCTTTGAACACTGAAAACAAAACGAACCACTCTATAATTATTATAAATCCTATAAATAAATTGATCAAAACCTTTTATCTGCTTAATTTATGTGAACAATTTGCTCTTTTATGACAACACAGAGATTTGTTAACCTAACCTTTAACAAGTGAACAGTTAACCTGCTGAATTGTTGTCCTGGATTTGCCCTGCTTTGAATTTATTAAAGTTAAAGAGATTTCGAAAGCATTCAAAGTACAAAAAATATAAGTATAGAGCCTGGTCAGAATACTGGTGGCAAAGTTTATCACACTTGGTTAAATAATGTCAAAGGTATTTACCTGTGACCATGGACTCTTGTTCCAGAGAGGGGAACATTCCTGAGTGTTGAATTATTTCTTTCTAAAAGGTTTCTATTCAGCATCACAGAATTTCCTCGGTACTCTCCTATCTTCTGTCTTTGTTAGTTTCTGTAGACAGTATATTTTATGTTTCTGATGGCCGCCGCCGCAAGACTTTTACATAAAATCCATATCTCGCCAAACCATCTGATAACAGAATAAAGGTTCATTAATGTCTCAGAAACTTTCAATATTACTGTTACAAAGCTAACAGTTTGGTAGAAAAGTAGCAAATTTATCTAAGTTACCTTGATATCAATCAACCTGAAAAGCTGAAAACCCAGCTAAAGTAGAAACACATACAGTAGATAAAATAATCAAATATATGAGGCAATAACCAATAGGGGATAGTGTTATGAGGAACAGTTTTGTTATTTATGATAAAAGAGAAACATGTTTGTCCTTGATTTTTACATACCTTGTTAGAAAATATGATTTGATCAACATTTTGATCACATTTTAACAGAAGTGCTTTCTCATTCAGACTCCATTTTTTCATAACTTGACTTAATTTAGTTACATTATAACACAAGAGAGATCAGTGATCACATATGTTGCGTCATGATAGCCAGTTGCATATCATAGCTACCCATTGTGTAGCAGAAGACACAAAAATTACTAACGAACAAAATGCGCTTTTTATTCAAGGGTAATGACTCAGCCAAAAACATTCAACTAAATAACCCGTGTTATATGCGCAAGTACTTGAGCAACAGATCAGTCCTGTAAAGTTATCGATATTTCGCACAACTAGACGACTTGGCGTTGATCATTCCTGTAAATTTCGGATTAAATTGCAACGGCAGTTTCTGAAGAATATTCCAGACTGGTTCTCCGCATGTGGTTGCCAACACAAAACAACACCGGTTTTATTTCAGGGCCATTACTTGGAGAAAAATCTTTCAGCCAGAAAACCTGTTTATATGTGCAAGTACTTGAGCTACCGATAAATCCTGTAAAATTTCATTGAAACTGCACAACTGTATTTAGGAGTCCGGACAAATTTTAACACCTTTTTTATTTAAGGGTCATAAAAACTCGGATAAAACTATCCAAGCAGAAAACCCGTGAAATATGTGCAATTACTTGAGCTACCGTTCACTCATGTAATTTGACTGAAATTGCATCAGTAGTAAGACAGTGGTCCGGACAAACTTTAAAAAAATAAAGAGCCATGACTCTAACAAAAATCATTGAACCGGAAAATGCCAACGATATGCAAAACTAGATTTAGTACTGATTATTTCTGTACAGTTAAGATGAAATTGCACAAGCAAGTAGTCTCTAATGAGTAGTCCATACAAGCTTCTTTGTAGCTGGCGGCAGAAAAAAATATTTTTTATTCAAGGGCCATAACTTGACCAAAAAACATTCAAGCAGAAAACCCTTGTAATTGTTAAACAACTTGAGCTACTGATCAATCTTGTACAGTTTCACTGACATTGCATCTGTGGTATAAAATAAGAAGTTCGGACAATCTGTAAAGATAAAAATCATATAAGGACTATAATTCTGACAAAAATCAATGAACTTGAAATACCACCAATATCCAGACAAGCTTCTGTGTAGCTGGCAACAGAACAAACACCTGTTTTGTTCACTGGCAATAACAAAAATCAATCAACCGTAAAACCCATGTAATATACGCAAGCACTTGACCTACAAATATATACTGTGAAAAGTTTCAATAAAATTGCATTAGTGGTATTAGAGGTGCAAAACAGGTTCATCATTAATCTTAAGCGTCCAATCCCGAGTATTTAGATCTTGTATATTTAGATCATGTATTAAAATGGGAGACGTAAAGCAATCCATGACTCCAGCAATGTTTGCAAACACAGATGATAAATGTCAATGTAATCAATTTGAATGAAAACATTATGAACAAACAACAAAACATGATAAGATTTAGGGCTTATTTAATGATAATAACCGACGTTTCGACTTTCAACAGTATTCGTCAGAGTTAAAAAGAAAATGAAAACATTTAAGATTAAACATCATAAACACTGCTACTTAAAAAGACATTGTATGACAGGCTTCTTTATCAAATAAAGAAAGAAATCATCACCTCAGTGCAATAAATGGTTAACTCCTATCAAAATTTAGAAATATTCAACCTGTTACTGCTCTTAAGCTGACGATATGGTCACAACGATCAATACACAATTATTAAATCGACTATATTTAAAGTTTGTACCTAACTATACTTAATGATTGTTTAAATATTTTGTCGCTTACTGCCTTAAATCATTGTTTCACTAAATATATTCAAAACGACACAAATTGCGTTTTCTGTAAGTATTAATATACATTACTTAAATGATTATTTAAACCATAGAACTAAGCCATTGCATTGTGATTTAAGTACCTAGGTTTCTTAAGAGACCTAATATTTTCATATTACATTTATAATACATGTACATGATTTATAACTTCCTCTTATAACAAAGTCAATACATTGTACACAGTAGATCTATTTAAAAAAACAAGGATGATTTAAATAACTACACTATTTATATCACCTCTGAATAAATACAAGTAGAATATAAACTTGTTAAACTGGTAATCAATAAACTCGGTTATGTTTTTGTAGTAACTAGGAAGTAAAAAACGACATTGTAGAAAATGGCGGAGGGAGGTATTGGATCAGATGAATTTGTCAACTTTAAATGTTGTTTATGTGAAAAGAAGAATATCAAAAAAGAGGCGGATATTTATTGTGTGGAATGTCAGGATTATTATTGTTCACCATGTACAGACTTGCACAAAATGTTTCCTGCAATGAGCACGCATCAGTTTATAGACAAGTCAAGTTTCAACACAGTTACCTTACAGAAATCGTTGCCAAGTTTTCCAGTTGAAAAATGTGAAGTTCATAAAACCAAGCTGCTAGATATGTATTGTGCTGACCACGATGATGTAGCATGTGCAACCTGTATAGCTATAAAACACAGGTTTGATTCTTCAAATATAGTATTTAACTGAATTGAAATTAAAAGTTTAGGCAGTTTTTTCAATCAATGTACATTTACCTGAAACTGAATTAAAGAGAACTCAAATCTTTGCTATAATTTTTTTCAAACTTGAAGAAAACATAAAAGTACACTTTCATCCAGTCATTGTTCCAGTTCATATGAGATTAAAGTTAATCAGTGGATATCTGGACCAGTATTATAACAAACTAGATGCCAAAGGACAACATAGTCAAATGTTATTGTTCAGGGCACGCCATCCTATATGTTGAATTTTCGTGCCAGGTTATTTCTTATTCACCTGCTGGTGATAAAGTTATGGTGAGTCAAGCTGTTTGAGACCATTTTGTTGCATTTTACGTAAACGTAGGACCTTGACCTTTGACCTAGCCAATGCTTTTAGCGAGTGACACACCGTCTCACTCTAATGAACATTTGTACTAAGTTATGAAAATATCTGTCACAAATGAAAGAGTTACGCCCTGGACAAGCATTTGACCGTAAAGTATGTCCTTGACCTTTGACCTAGCCACGCGATTTTTGCGCGTGACACACTGTCTCATTCTTGTTAACATTTGAGCCAAGTTATTCAAAATGTCTCTAATGACAGAGTTAAGCCCTGGACAATCATTTGACCTTAACCTTTGACCTAGCCATACGATTCTTGTGCGTGACACACCCTCTCATTATACCCCCACAAACGAAGTTTAGGGGGGGGGGGTATATAGGAGTCAGCTTGTCGGTCGGTCGGTCGGTCGGTCGGTCGGTTGGTTGGTCGGTCGGTCCGTCGGTCGGTCCACATCATGGTTTCCGGACGATAACTAGAGTTTGGAATGAGGTATTATTATCAAACTTGGTATATAGCAACCTTATGTGGAAACTCCGGTTGGTATTGCATTTGGACCCCCTGGGGTCAAGGTCAATGTCATCGTTACTAAAAATAGAAAAATGGTTTCCGGACAATAACTAGAGTTAGGAATGAGATATTGTTATCAAACTTGGCATATAGCAAGCTCTAATGAAGACCTGGATTGGTATTGTATTTGGGCCCCCTGGGGTCAAGGTCAAGGTCACAGTTACTAAAAATATAAAAATGGTTTCCAGACAATAACTTGACTTAGGAATGAGATACTGTAATCAAACTAGGTGTATAGCAAGCTTATATGAAGACCTGGGTTGGTATTGCATTTGGACCCCTGGGTTAAGGTCAAGGTCACCGTTACTAAAAATAGAAAAATGGTTTCCGAACAATAACTAGAGTTAGGAATGAGATATTGTTATCAAACTTGGCATATAGCAAGCTTATATGAAGACCTGGGTTGGTATTGCATTTGGACCCTCTGGGTCAAAGTCAAGGTCACTGTTACGAAAAATATAAAAACAATAACTTGACTTAGGAATGAGATACTGTAATCAAACTTGGTGTATAGCAAGCTGATATGAAGACATTGGTTGGTATTGCATTTGGGCCCCTTGGGACAAGGTCACCGTTACGAAAAATAGAAAAATGGTTTCCGTACAATAACTAGAGTTAGGAATGAGATATTGTAATCTAATTTGGTGTATAGGAAGGTTATATGAAGACCTGGGTTGGTATTGCATTTGGACCCCCTAGGGTCAAGGTCACCATTACAGTGTTACTAAAAATAGAAAAATGATTTCCGGACAATAACTAGAGTTAGGAATATGATATTGTAAGCAAATTTGGTGTATAGCAAGCTTATTTCGAGACCCTAGTTGCGATTACAATTGATTGAAATATTTCTTTGTACATAGTTGATAGTTTGTGTTCAAATTTTTCTTCAGACTTCTTTTTTTTTCAAAAAGTCAAAAGTTGCTGGTGGGGGTATTAATCACCTTTAGTGATAGGTCTAGTTATTATTTGTGCTTACGTATTTAAAATTCTGCCTACTAACGTCAGACAAAATTAAACTAGACAGACGGACGCACATTTAAACCGAACTGCCATTGTGACAAATATGTTGAGCTTGCTGCAATCTGGATCGACAAAAATAGTTAAATATCAAATTAATTCTAGGAATAAACAAGTTCTAGATACCATGTTACCTAAGTAACACAGCAAACTGCCTCAGAATAATTCTATTTTCTATTTATTTTCTCCATTTTAGACACGATTGGTTAGTAAGTCATAAGATAATTCATAATTCTGTAATCTTAAAGGCACAACATGCTTCAAAAATATAAAATATTTTTCTTTTGAAGTAAGGGAAAACATGTTTTATATAATGTTGTTATCATGGATTTAGAACATGTGAGACGCTTGTCACCTAAACAAATAGCCTTGAATATAACATTAATTTGTAAAAAAAGATAGCAAAATGTAGAGAAAGTGGTATTCTGCCAAATACTTACTCAATATAGTAGTTGTACTTCTATAATGACAAAATGCAACATAAATAAAATAAGGCTGAGCTTTAAATGTACTCGTATGGCCGATTAATAAAATTTTGTAAACTGTAAATGGCAGCAGGAAAAAGAATGCTTTTAAAATGATAGCATTTATAAAGGTTAATGGGTCTATAACTGATATCAAAAATATTCATAATATTAGTACTTTTTGTATTAAAATTTTCAGAACATGCCAAAATATACATTCAGTGCCAGATGAAGTTAATGACTTGTGTAAGGAGATTGATGCTGATAAAACAAATATTGAGCTGATTCGCATAAAAACTAAAATTGAGGAGGCTGAGAAAGTAAAGAAACTTCTTATCAAAGAGCTCAATGCACAGAAGGCGAAGGCAACAGATTCAATAAGACAATTCAGAAAAGAAATGGAACTAATACTGGACACACTTGAAAAGGCTACATTAAAATCTTTAGATGAAAAGTACAATAATGGCAAAGAGAAACTAGAGAACGAGATTAAAAACCTCCATAGACATATTGATGAACTCAAATTATCATCACAAAAACTAACAAAGTCAGTTGGGAATAAAGCACAGGAGTTTGTCGCTGTGAAAACTTCTCGGAAACAAATCATTGAGGCTAATGAAGCAGACGAAGAGTCTATTACAAATTCATCAGATGTTAAAGTTGAATTCATTGCTGATTCAACAATAAAGGATGCTTTAAAAGACTTTAAGGCATTCGGATCAATTTCAGTGAGTACATGTAATGCTGAACATAAAAGAGACAAAATGTATGGTGTGAAAAGCAAGAAACAAGTCAACATCAAACATGTAAATGATATAGAGACATGTAGAGTTACTGGTTCATGTTTCACAGATGATGGACTATTATTTCTAGCTGACCATAGAAACAAAACGTTAAAGCTTATTGATTTGTCCTCAGAATCCATAAAAGATAAGCTAACTTTTGAAGTATCTCCATATAAAATTTGTCAAATAAATAAAAACGCCTTTGCAGTAAGTTTGACCAATCAAACCATTCAATTTGTTACAATGGACAACAAACTTATTACCAACAAACAACTGAAGCTAGATCATAACTGTTACGGACTGGCCTACAAAGACAACAAATTATTCATCTCTGATTCTCGTACAGCGCTGTACATTTATGATATGAATGGCACCATGTTGCAAAAAATCACAACTGATAAACAAGGCAATGAAATTTTCAATAACAACAGAGATATCAGTGTCAGCAGTGATGGCAAGATGATTTATGTGGCTGATTATGATAAAGGGCTGATTGTCCTTGACCTTGAGGGAAATTACAAGACAACAATTACTGATCCTGATTTTGTTTCCTTACAGGGAGTTTGTACAGACAAACAAGGAAACATATTTGTATGTGGATGGGGGGATTCTAAAATTGTCCAGATCAATGAGAAGACTACTGGAAAATCGGGCGTACTTGGCAATGTTCGTCATGGTTATTCTTGTAGCTTTCATCTAAAACATAACAAACTGGCAGTTACTGTTAACAACAGTAATACAATTGAGGTGTATGATTAACTGTAAAGCCAATAAAATTACAGCAATCAAAACAGTGATATTAACCTAAATATAAAATAAGAAAGCTATTTACACACACTATTATCACAGTGTTTGACAACAAAGAAAAAACTTCAATTTTTTAATGTAAACATTTTAATGCTTTCCTTAAAATTGAAATTTCATTGAAAACATTTGTCTGTTTTTTTTTTCAAACATTCAAAAAAATTTGAATATGCTTTACATTGTTTACTGTGCAATACCGAAGGATATTGAATGAGTGTAAGTTTAATACTTAATTTATTGAAAAGGTTAAATAAAATTATATTATGCGAGCCTCTGACGCACAAAATATTATTTTATCAAACAAGTTCAATAAATTAAATAATGAACTTACACGAATTCAAAATTCTATTTATCACATACAAAAAATAAAGACCGTTTGAAATGAAACAGAACCATTTTTCATTGACGTACCTATAAAAAGACGCTACATGTTTGTAGAGCACAAATGAATACACGTCAAAATATTTGCACGGCTGTGCAATACCATTTTTACGGAGTCGCAAAAGCGGCACATGTTTATGATAATAAAGTTTTATTATGCTACAATAAAGGGGATATGCTTGTATTATATTTCACTGCTTATATTATGTGTTATGTAAGTGCTTCTGTATGACTGTGAAATATTATCAAGAGTTCAGTTTTGTACACAAGATAAGTATGCTTTGATTCAGACACACTTGTTCAAAATGTATGAATGATTGACGACTTATTAAATTGTATTCAATACCAAAATAATGTGTATCTTTATGTAGCATCTCCAAGGAGTTATTCTGTACCTTTGTACCAAAAACAGAATAAGAAAGAGACAAGCTGAAATATAGTATATGAGTTCTAATGTGTTAAAGTACAAGACTCACTGACCAGCGGGGAAAGATGGGGAATTTGGGGGCAAGTTCGACTTTTGCTTAGTTCCTTAGTCAAACACATGGTTGGTTGAAGAATACATACTGTAGTACAGTCCTAAATACTCCAACAAAACATTTTTTCTTGTACAAAATATCACTCAAATTTCATAATTGACATTGACAGCCAAGGTCATTCAAATGTCAAGTCAAACTTGAATATATGATTGTTTTAGAAAAAGTTTCAATGGGATGCTATGATATTCCCCTTTTTAAAATTTTTGAGATTCTGTTGTCTAGCATGCAGTCATATTGATACTCAAAAGCAAATACCAATAAAAAGTGAATAAAAAGTCTCATGCAATATCTATACAATGTAAAAATCTGTCTGTGATATAAAGCAGCTTAAGTAATGTTTCATTAGTTTTTATTTCGGGACAGTATTTTACAAACGCCTGTTTGGTAAACACTTATCCTCCTGGCCCAGATTCTTGTATGGGACATTTTTTCAAAAAAGGTTTACCCATTTACATAGTTATGGACAGAAAAATTGCCAAAACAGGAACTACCATTGAAAACAGAAAAATGCTCCCAAAGCAGGGTCAAGTAGAAGTTCAATGACCTTTTTTCTTGCATCAATGGTATTGTTACAATAAAAAAGTGTTTCAATGATATAGAAACATTAATAAATATTATCTTATATTCTCATAGCCCAAGACTTCAAAAAAAACGTCTGACAAAAATATGACTTCACACAACCATCAGCACGCACACACACACACACACACACACACACACACACACACACACACACACACACACACACACACACACTCGCGCGCGCGCGCACACACACACACGCACACACAACTTTTTTAATTCAAAGGGCCATGATTCCACAAAAAAACCAGAAAACTTGCGAATAATGTGCAAGAATTTGACCAACCAATCAATCCTGTAAAGGACCGTAACTCGGCAAAAAATCATTTAACCAGTAAACCCGTGTAATATGCGCACAAACTTGAGCTAGAAATCAGTCCTGAAATTGCAATAGTGGTAGAAGGTAAATAGTCCGGACAAGATAAAAAAATAAAAACTATTGAAGGACCAATAACAGAAATCATTGAACCTGAAAAAGCCGGCGATATGCACAACTAGATTTGGTACTGATCATTCCTGTAAAGTTTGGATGAAAGTGAACCTACAGTTTTTCGTAACAACCAGACTAAAGCCTGCGACCATATGCCCTCCCTTTGGGAAGCATATAAATATATATTTAAAACCTTACAATGAAATATAAGATTTCTGATTTTTGAATAAGTACATTGTATATTCATTATGATTGATAAAATTATCTACTTGGGTTACCAAATCAAAATCAAATCTACAGTGCAAAATATCTTTGACAGCTTTACTGGTATAAATACAAACAATACAATTTCCCACACTTTTATTACCTCCTACACAAAGTCATCTTGTATATGTCCATCAGCAACTAGTGACTCGAGGAAGGTTGTAAGGTCGTCGGTAAATAAAATTTGTCCAGTCTACGCTGTACGCGCCCTCTGGGTCAAGTTTCCAGTTTCCGTTTAAACGATACTCTCCGCGCCTGCCTCGTAAAGCCAGGTAATTGCTACGGGCATTACCCGCCTCTTCTACTTTCATTCCACTTGGCCCTCTTGGTAAATATACCACACACATATATGCTTAAGTAAAGGTCAAGGTCATTGAAATCTCAAGGTAAGGATAACTTCAGCCTTTTTAAAGGTCTTGCCCACAAATGTTGTGTTATCAAATTATGAAGCTAATCCATGGAATAATTACCTAGTTTTAATGCATCTTCTTCTTATTAAAATTTATCCACATACAAAGTTTCTTGTTGATACCTCTTATAGTTTCAGAGTTATGTCCCGGACAAAGTTCAAAGTGTCATAATTAACAAAGGACAATAACTCCAAACTTAGACAAGGCAAATTTATGTTCTTTTGGACTGCACATCTACCCAATAAGAATTTTTAACCTACAAAATTTCTTGTTGATATTATCTTATAGTTTCAGAGTTATGTCTCGGATAAAAAGGAGCATATACCTCTTAAATATTGCTTAATGAGTAACACCTATTGACTTGCAATCGTGCATTGATTGTCATAAATGTTTGAGGAATAGGCTACATTAAAGGTTTTGTACAATAAACATTACCACCCAGCGATCAAAGCAATAAAAAGAACTTTAAGGTTTAATTGAAAGAATAGTTTTACTGAAATGATTGGCAATGGTTGTCGAATGCTTGTGTCGGTCGATTTGAGCATCCCACGTCCCATATATACAACACAGGTACATTCCCTCTTTCCAAAAATTATAACAATTTTAAACAAACATAGTGACTTGGACATTAAAACGAGGAACATATAGTTTTTGCTTGCAACACCTTATTTCACTAAAATTTGTTTAGAATACTTTGGTTATTCCAGTATCCTTAAGTCACAATTAGTCTTAATCAAACAATTGACCTCAATTTAACATCGTTATGGAACAGAACTTAAATATGACGTTTTCCGTTTTTCATAATTTTTCGATCTAAATAGTTTTTTTAGAATAAGGTCTATTGCAAGAAGAATCTAAACCTGGACATTCTTATAACAAACAGTGACTATTTCCGGAGTGAACCACTGATGGGGTAGGTTATGACTCACACCTACTTTTATTATATCATAAACAATAATTGCATAAATTTCATAAACTGTTCTCAAATGAGTTGGGTAGATATGCCTATTTTCATTGTATCCTAAAACTTCATAAACATACCCAATAAAGATTGGGTTATGTCATGCTTATTTCTATTACTGTCTTATTTCATTAGAAAGAAAATAATTTCATAAGTTAGCAAAAAGCCAGTTGGGTAGCCACGCCTATTTCTATTGCATTTACAAACGATTGCACAGTACTAGTTTATTTCCTATGTTGGTTAAATTAACTAACTTATGAAATTGAACAGTTGTTTGATGAAAGCAATAGAAATAGGCGTGGCTTACCAAGACTGATAAACGTAGGTTGGGTAGCCACGCCTATATCCACTGATTCCTTCATATGATTTCTTACACTTAAAATCTCCTAGTGTTCCAACATGGTCAAGGAACAGCTGAGTTTAGAAAACTAAATTCTAAAGTCTATAAGCAAAGACTTTCTTTATGACTATGTTTTTTGTAATAGAGTGAGTGTTTAATATACATATGTTTTCAGATGGAAAAAAAGAAGATAAAAATCATAAAATTTTCAGAGTGATTTATTATTACAAACTTGACTCTAAGTGCTCACAATTTTAAGACAAATTATGCATGAGTATTAAAAAGTCAACAGTTAGTGAAGCGATATGTCATTATATATACTCATAATTATATAATAATAGTTAATAAATGTACAAATAATACATAAAATACACTTATAATAATTATCAAAATAAATCAGTACATAACTATAATATACAGAAATACACAAATATTGTAAATGAATTGTAGAAGATAACTTTACTTAATTAGATTCTATAAATTTAAGGGATCCTGGGTTATAAAATATAAAAATCATCAAACAATTCAGATAATCAAAAATTACTTTTTCCCAGAAACATACTTAAATATGTAAAGGACAAAGTTTTTTTATATTTATAAAAACAGGATTTATTTCATAGAGTAATACCAAAAATAAATATTTCATGAGTGAAATATGATAATTTGCATAACCTCAAGATGAAAATAAATCCTGTACGTATTTTATTTATAGAAAAACCTTACATTTTCTGTTTATTATATAACAGCCACCGGAAAATCTTTGCACCACCGGGATAGTGGCAAACTTCACTACCATTTATACTTGCCCTAAACACTCAAAAATCATTTCATCCGATAGATTTAATGTTAATTATTAATAATTGACTTCATTTAAGGCTTTTTTTAATTTTTTTCTTATCAAAAAATGTATTTTAAAAAATTTGTCCGGGCGGAATTTCATGTATTCCAACCGGAATTATGCTGTCCGGGCGGAATTATTTAAATTCCAATTGGAATTTATTCCAACATTATTATTTATTCCAACGGGAATTTCAATTTTTATGAAATTGTCGAAATACATAAACACATGCTTAATATGTATTTGTATGCATTTTCTTGTTGAAATAACGTCTATTTAAGCATTTTTCGGAAAATCCGATCGGATTTTTTTCCATTAAATTTAACTGGAAAAAAATCCGATTGGAATAAAACCCAACTGGACATTATTCCAATTGGAGTTTTTTCCAATACTTTTTATTGGAAATAAATCCTATTGGAATTAATTCCAATTTAAAAGGAATGGAAATTAATCCAATTGGAAGGTAATATATGTTAATATTTAAGGTAGTTTTATGTAATTCACGGACAAAATAAAGACAAAATATGGGCCGAAACGTGTTAGAGCCGATTTTTGCACGGGCCGATTTGATGTTAATACTAAACTGCTGACGAATGATGATATATATGATAATTTATATAAGAAACTGCTAACTAGTTTAAATAAAGAAGCGTTATCGTAAACTGCTGACAAGTTAGATAAAGAAGGAAAAACATTGAAGATGTCAATTAGGTGTCAACTAGCTATAAGTGTTATTCTAGGCGAGGTCGAAAGATGCTTGATAAGACGTATTTTCAAGATGACACTATTACAAATAATAAATATTGATATATAAATAATAATTGATATATTTCTCAATGTCTATTGTTAAATTATTTTATTTCAGTATGGTAAATGAAATGTCTTCTATGTGATATATATTGGATAAAATTTAGAAAATGTAGTCATAATATGGTGATCTTACATAAAAAAAATATCATAATATATATATATATATATATTATATATATTATTTATATTAATA